GTGTGTGGAAGGTGTGCGGAAGAGGGGGTAGTCTTATACGGCGAGTATATAACAAACTCTGTATTTTGAGTGGAAATGTTACGGGGTCGTCTTATACGCCCAGTCGTCTTATACGCCGGCAAATACGGTAATGAATCAGAACCAGCATTTTCCCAAGACCTCCATGTGATTCGCATGTACATTCAAGAGTGAGAAGCAGACGTGGAAGATGCCCTCTAACTCTCCGCTTCTCCATTCACTTGAGGTTTTCACAGTCTCTTTTTGCTACTCCTCCTCCACCTACTCCTGCATGACCTACTAACTATCCATTTAATAATAGCTTATTAAAGGCAGAAGACCTGAGGGTGATTTGTGATAGAATGGGTATAATGAGCTTCCAAATTAATGTAACCTGATAAATAGTTATATTCCTTATAGGTGGGGGAGGAGTCCCCCAACTGAAATCCAAATGGCTGTAAATGCAGTCATGTATACTCTTCTTGGAAGCAATGAATCAGAAAATACCAAAAGCTCTCTCCTACCTTTATGATTCTCATTCATTAGTCCTATACTCTAGGCAGCATTTTCCGGCTGCCTATCCACTGCTTAGGACTATCTGCTGAAAGCAAATGGCATTCTACCTTCTGAGTAGCACATGCACATTCATTAGTCCTACCTCCGGCATAGTCCTAGTCTTGCACAGACATAAACTTCCAGCTTTCAACAGCTGATAGTCCAGAACTTCAAACAAATAGTGGAAACAGAACCAGACCTCATGTATAAGACAAGAGCCAGAGAATTTAATGATAACCGGATATTAAAAATGGGGAAACCAGGCCTTACTTCTTTGGTAGCTTCATCTTCTTCCAGTTCCCAACTCACAATACTGGAAGCTCTGGAACAACCAACTGCTTTCAATGCTCCCACACACACCACACTTTCTATGCCTTTCCTGTTACCTCAGTCTGGAATGCTCTTTAGAGTGCTCGCTGCCTGGATAACTTCTTTTCTTCCAATAAGACTCAGCTCAGGATGCATCTGCTTCTCCAGGCATCCCTCCTTCCACCCCCAGGCTGAGACATGTGCCTCTCCATACCCTAGCACCCTGCTTTAACCTCCATCATGTCACCCTACATCAATGCTGCCCAATAGAAACATAACAGGAACCACAAAAGTTTAAATTTTCTAGTAGCACAGTTTTTCAAAATGAAAAAGTGGGTGAAATTCATTTTAATTTTGTAGTTTATTTAACCCAATAGACTCAGAATGTTATTTAAACAGGTAATCAATACCCTATTAAAATTATTGATTAGATATTTTACAATCTTTTATCATATCAAGTCTCTATACTCCATTGTGCATTTTATATGTAGAGCACATCTCAATTCAGACTAGCCACAATTCAAGGGCCCAATAGCCACATGTGACTAGTGGTGGTTGTATTGGACAGTCCAGCATTAAGCTGAAATAATCTACTTATGGATTTGCCTTCCCTACTAGAAAGTAAACTACTCAAGGGCTAGGTCAATATTTTACTTGTAGTAGCATCAGTATTGCATCAGTATATAGTACATATAGAGAACTCAGTAAATGTTTGCTACACTGAATTGACCTGAAGGTATTTTGAGAGAAGGTGGCATTTTAGCAGGCGCTCGAATGAAGAGCAGCTTATGTGTCCTTGTAATAATTATGATGATGGGAAAAATAGCTAATATTTTTGTCTTGGATTATGTTCTATGCTCTTGAAATGCACTCTCATTTAGTCCTCACCACAACCCCAAATACCCTTGTACCATTATTACCTCCACTTTATGGAAAAAGAAACTTGCCCCAAATCATATAGCTACTAAGTGCAAGAGCCAGGACTTACTGAAATAGTTATAGAAAAATAAGGTAAATGATAATCAAACACACATCCCACAATAAACAAAAAGTTGAAAATAAACAATATTCACAGGTGTTATACATCTACTCCAATAGGTAAGCCTTCTCCCGAACCTCCTTTACCGTCCCCACAAGCATCTTTTCTGGGCCTTTGTGATCTGCTGAGCCTTGTGCAGGATGTACCTCTTTCCAAATTTTTGAACCAGCCCTTCCTGACTTGAAATTTACTATCTTTCACACTTGCCTTCTGAGTTGCCTTCTGCCTGTCTTGTCAAAATGGTGGAACTTTTCACAAACCACTCCAGTGAATAAAGACAGCTTTCTCAGAGCCTAATCTTCTCCCCGTATCTGGAGAAAGAGTGGGGCATAAACATCTTTCCTCCACCTTTCACCCAGAAGACCCCTCGGTCTCACTCACATGTCCTGTGGAGAGGGTGAGCGATCGCTGCGGATTTGTGCTTTTGTTTAAAGGAATGAGGCTAAATTGTGCTTCACAAAAATGATGCAGATTACAACTTTGTGTGTGTGTGTGTGTGTGTGTGTGTGTGTGTGTGTGTACAAAATTTCCTTTATCTCTAAACCTCAGGAGCCAGCTCCACATCTGGCAAAGGAAATAAAGCTGGAAATGTAAGAAAAAAATGGATGAGGAGAAGACTTGAAAACAGGCAACTGTATTTGGATTTGATGTAGTGGGAAATAAAGACCACTGGAGGGTTTCTGAGCACAGGAGTGAGGTGATGAAAACAGAGATTGAGGGAGATGAAATGCAAGCGGGACAAATTGAAGGGAGGGTCTAGAATCCGAGAAGAGGCAGTCATCCAGGCCTGGAGAGGCAGAGAGAGCAAGGGAGAAAGCAAGGGTATTAGGAAAGGGATCCATGAGTCTATATAAATTAATTAACATGCCCACCCCAAAGTCACTTTACTACCAAGTTACTACCAGTTTTTTATGCTCTCACTCCATTTGGGAAGGCAAAAATAAACCCATGAGGAGCTGAATATTCTCATTAAAATGATAAAATTTCATCTCTGTGAATATAATGGTTTAACTGTAAGTATACCCTGCTGAGCAAATGAGCTTTATCATGAGTATGTGGAATATTGGGTTGTCGGAAAAGTCATGATGCATTTTGCAACGAAAAACATAGAAAAAATACGTCATGACTTTTCCGACAACCCAATAGTTCTTGGGGCAGAAATGGAGCACAGACAAAATTTATATTATGCCCTTATTTACAGAATAAACAAGCACAATGAAAACAAAATAATTTTTTTACAGCAGCCTCATGTCAATGAAGCCCATCTGACAGAATAGAGATGGCTGCCCCCAAAGTGGCAGTCCCAGACTGAGAGTGCCCCTAACTCATTGCCCTACAGAATTCTAGAAGCACCCTCTCGAAGTCAGGTTCTACAGTGGCAGGAGGTATAGCTTGACTCTCAGATGGACCAACAGTATTTATCAAAACCTTACACCCTAAGCCATAGTAATCAAAACAGCATGATACTAGCATAAAAATTAACACATAGATCAATGGAACAGAAGAGAGCCCAAAAATAAACTCACACCTATAATGGTCAGTTCATCTAAGACAAAAGAAGCAGGAATATACAGTGGGGTAAAGAGAGTCTCTTCAACAAATGGTTGGAAAAACTAGACAGACACATGCAAAAAAATGAAACTGGATCACTTCCTTACACCATACACAAATAAACTCAAAATGGATTCAGAGCTTAAATATAAGACCTGCAACTATAAAACCCCTAGGAGAAGCTATAGGCAATAAATTCTTTGGCATCACTCTTAGCAATACATATATTTGGATATGTCTTCTTGGGCAAAAGAAGCAAATTAAAAAATAAACAAATGGTGCTACATCAAGCTAAACAGATTTTGCACAGCAAAGGAAATCAAAAACAACGAAAAAGAGAACATACTGAATGGACAAAGATATTTGCCAATGATATGTCCAATAAGGTGTTAATATAAGAAATTCATACAACTCCACACCAGAACAAACAAACAAACCAATTCAAAAATGAGCAGAGGACCTGAACAGACATTTCTCCAAAGAGGACATACGGATAGCCAACAGACATATGAAAAGATGCTCAGCATCACTAGTCATCAGGGATATGAAAATCAAAACCACAATGAGATATCCCCTCACACCTGCCAGAATAGCTATTATCAATAAAACAACAAACAAACAAGTGTTGGTGAGGTTGTGGAGAAAAGGGAACCTTTCTGTACTGCTGGTGGGACTGCAAATTGGTGCAGCCACTATGCAAAACAGTATTAAAAATAGAACTACCTTATGACTAAGCAATCCCACTTCTGGATATTTATCTGAAGAAATCCAAAGCACGAATTAAAAAAGATATATGCGCCCCTATGTTCATGGCAGAATTATCTACAATAGCTAAGATATGGAAGCAACCTAAGTGTCCATTGATAGATAAATAGATAAAGAAAAGGTGGTACATATATACAGTGGAATATTACTTGGCCACGAAATAAAATGAAATCCTGCCATTTGTGACAACATGGATGGACCTACAGGGTATTGTGCCAAGTGAAATAAGACAGCCAGAGAAAGACAAATACCGTATGATTTTACTTACATGTGGAATCTATAAAACAAAATAGACGAACAAACAAAATAGAAACAAACTCATATATACAGAGAACAAATTGATGGTTGCCAGGTGGGAGGGAGGTTAGGAGGATGGGTGTAAAAGGTGAAGAGATTAAGTATAAACTGCCAGTTATAAAAACAGTCACAGGGATGTAAAGTGCAGCATAGAGAATACAGTGAGTAACATTGTAATAAGTATGTATGGTGTTAGATCAGTACTAGACTCATCGAGGGATGACTTTATAAGGTATACAAATATCTAATCACTATGTTGTATTCCTGAAACTAATATAACATTGAATGTCAACTGTAATTGAAAAATAAAAACAAATTTTTAAAAAGAAGCAGTCCAATTATTCATCAACAGGAAAATGGTTATACATATAGTGATCTGTTCATGAAAAATTACACCACATAGCAGTTAAAATGAATTGACCAGCTCTATGTTCTGAAATCTAGTGCTAAATTTAGAATAATCAAGTTGCAAAGTGATTGTGCTTCTATTTATTTAAAAATTTATAACATGCAAGATGACAGTACCTATTGTTGAAAGATACATGTGTTTACAGAAGTAAGAAAGCATGCAAATTCAAGACACTGTTTATCTGTGGGGTGGGAGGAAGAGAGAAATGGGATTAACGAGGAAACCACAAAAAAATTAAGTAGGTCTGAAGGAACTTGTCAAAATGTTAGGATTGCCTAGAACTCAATAGTGGCACACAGAGTTTTGTTATTAGGTTCTCCTATTTATTACTTGTTCAGTAAAAAAATTTTTGTTAAGTCACAAGTACTCACTTGAGAGACCAGATGGCTGATTGGCAGGTAATCTGAAAGAAACCCAGGGCAGGATCTTGACTGAATTCCAATCTTGTCTTCTTTCCACATGGCTCCCAGTTCATGATCTGTTTGCAAATAAAGGGTTTGCATCATTTTAGTCTTAATCTTAGTAATTTATTTTTACCTGAGAGATATTGTTCCCCAAAGTCCATGAAGGCAACATCTGCTCTGGCCATCTACAGCACAAAGCATGCTTGCTCTGGCAGGCTGAGCTGTTGCTTCAGTTTGTTACTTGGCTCTGTTTTCCACCCTCACTAACTCACAATGCTGAGCCACTGAAAGGTCAGTAGAGAGAGAGATGATCTAAACATGCAAAAAGTATAAGTGAGAGGAAGAGAGGGGGAAGGAGGAAGGGAGGTGGGGAGAGAGGGAGAGAGAGAGAGAGA